AATTGGTTATTATTAACACTCATCACGAATACATTATCCACAAGCTGCGGATGACATGAAATATGCATATTCCCTGAGGCCAGCATATGGTAGCAATGGGTAAAATGAAGTATTACGAATTAGAAACGGTCACATTCTTGACATAGAACTACTAGCTCAATGACAGAAATGTGGGACGATATTCCAACAGCTGCACAAGAGAGGCGCTAGAAACTGTAACAGTGTGTATAGCAGGCCAGCCAGAGTGCGTATGTGTGAGTGTTTGAGTGTGTGTGAGTGTGTGTGTGTGGCAGTCCAGTGTTTTGAAGCCTAACGGAGGTCTCTAGGGCTAAGCAGGCTGGTCAAAGATGAATGAAAGGAATGCTGGTCCAGCCTCCACAAAGTGAATATTATGAATATGTTAGGAAAAAGAGAATATATTAAAGGAAAACTTTGTTGGTCATTTGAAGCCATATTTAAAGTCATATCAGTTCTCCTGCTACACCGGAAAATAATCCAAAACGTGTTTTTTTGATAATGAAATAATAATCCAGCGTATTTCAGGATTACTGCCCTATCCACTTTTGTCACAACAGCATATCTTTACTGCTAATGAACATCCAGTGGCTTGCGAAAGTATTCACCCCCTTTGGCATTTTTCCTATTTTGTTGCCTTATAACCTGGAATTAAAATTGATTTTTGGGGGGTTTGTATCGTTTGATTTACACAACATGCCTACCACTTTGAAGATGCAAAATATTTTTTATTGTGAAACAAGCAAGAAATAAGACCAAAAAACAGAAAGCGTGCATAACTATTCACCCCCCCCCCAAAGTCAATACTTTGTAGAGCCACCTTTTGCAGCAATTACAGCTGCAAGTCTCTTGGGGTATGTCTCTATAAGCTTGGCACATCTAGCCACTGGGATTTTTCCCCATTCTTCAAGGCAAAACTGCTCCAGCACCTTCAAGTTGGATGGGTTCCGCTGGTGTAGAGCAATCTTTAAGTCATACCACAGATTCTCAATTGGATTGAGGTCTGGGATTTGACAAGGCCATTCCAAGACATTTCAATGTTTCCCCTTAAACCACTCAAGTGTTGCTTTAGCAGTATGCTTAGGGTCATTGTCCTGCTGGAAGGTGAACCTCCGTCCCAGTCTCAAATCTCTGGAAGACTGAAACAGGTTTTCCTCAGGAATTTCCCTGTATTTAGCGCCATCCATCATTCCTTCAATTCTGACCAGTTTCCCAGTCCCTGCCGATGAAAAACATCCCCACAGCATGATGCTGACACCACCATGCTTCACTGTGGGGATGGTGTTCTCAGGGTGATGAGTGGTGTTGGGTTTGCTCCAGACATAGCGTTTTCCTTGATGCCCAAAAAGCTCAATTTTAGTCTCATCTGACCAGAGTACCTTCTTCCATATGTTTGGGGAGTCTCCTACATGGCTTTTGGCGAACACCAAACGTGTTTGCAGATTTTTTTCTTTAAGCAATGGATTTTTTCTGGCCACTCTTCCGTAAAGCCCAGGTCTGTGGAGTGTACGGCTTAAAGTGGTCCTATGGACAGATACTCCAATCTCCGCTGTGGAGCTTTGCAGCTCCTTCAGGGTTATCTTTGGTCTCTTTGTTGCCTCTCTGATTAATGCCCTCTTTGCCTGGTCCGTGAGTTTTGGTGGGCGGCCCTCTCTTGGCAGGTTTGTTGTGGTGCCATATTCTTTCCATTTTTTAATAATGGATTTTATGGTGCTCCGTGGGATGTTCAAAGTTTCTGATATTTTTTTATAACCCAACCCTGATCTGTACTTCTCCACAACTTTGTCCCTGACCTGTTTGGAGAGCTCCTAGGTCTTCATGGTGCCGCTTGCTTGGTGGTGCCCCTTGCTTAGTGGTGTTGCAGACTCTGGGGCCTTTCAGAACAGGTGTATATATATAGAGATCATGTGACATATCATGTGACACTTAGATTGCACACAGGTGGACTTTATTTAACTAATAATGTGACTTCTGAAGGTAATTGGTTGCACCAGATCTTATTTAGGGGCTTCATAGCAAAGGGGGTGAATACATATGCACGCACCACTTTTCCATTATTTATTTTTTTAGAATTTCTTGAAATAAGTTATTTTTTTCATTTCACTTCACCAATTTGGACTATTTTGTGTAATCCAAATAAAAATCCATTTAAATTACAGGTTGTAATTCAACAAAATAGGAAAAACACCAAGGGGGATGAATACTTTTGCAAGGCACTGTATCTATACGTGAAATATTGTTATATCACAAATGTTTTCCTTTCTACATACATTATGATTTGTACGTTCAAGCTCTGTAAACCATAAACACACATTATCCAATCCTCTAAATACAATGTATGTCTAACTTCACAGTGGCTTTCTGTAACTGGGATAAATTACGAGAATAGTGAACAGAGGCCATATTTCCAATCTAACACAGTGTTAATAATTCAACATTTAATATACAAAATAAACAAGCTGTCCAAACACAATATCATTTAATAATTGATTCACTACTATAATAATACAAATAATATTACTGCCTCAATGTTTTGACCCCCTGCACTCAAATAAGATACATATGGTCATATACAGTAGGCTTCGTGGCCATAATCTGAAAACAAAGTGGAGAGATGAGCCGTATCTATTCTCTGTGACATTATGTAAAAACACTTCCATCCCTGTAATGAGAGCATTGAACAGAGGAGAGAAGAGGCCGTCCCCAAGACTCTAGTTTACCGCTGTACTGTCTTCCTAGCACTGTCAATGTCACCAGTTTCTCCTCCTCTCCTCCTCTTCCAGTTTAGCCCACGGGCACAACTGAGCATGGGGTAGCATCATCTCAATGCAGGAATGGCCAACTTCTCTCTCCGTCTCTCCCTCTTTCTTTCCCTCTCACTCACACTGACCCCATGGGAGGGGACTCAATTCAAACCATCATGCCACTTGGACACATTCTGCAAAAGCAACATCAAAAAATATCCTATATCCTACTGCTCACTCAAAAAAGATCCATCTTTAACTGCCGCCAGGTAGACCAAGTAAAATAGAGCAACTAGACCTGCAACTGTATGGGCCTAAAATGTATCTGTCAATAGCAGTGGCACAAGCTTTACCATGTCTAGTCACATAATTTCAGAGCTATTTTCTGTCTTCCTGTCATTATCCGCTCCCCCCGGTGAGAATTACAATATAGATTAAAGAGAGTCAGTGGGAGAGACAGGGGATCTAGGGGGAAGGAGGGAGGGAGGGGCCGACACAGACCTCCAGCAACAGCCACCTGACAGCAGGTTACCCAGGAGGATACCGGCAGCCAATCAGCTAACAGTCTCCAGCCATCTCTCCAGAGGGACAATGAACAGATTGGAGCACTGAAGGACACTGTCTTTCCTACACACTGCTAGCGCGTGTGCGCATGCACAAACACAAACACACACCGGGACACAATGCTTCATATTGCTTGTTTATATATTCAGTACTGTACGTTTTCACAGTGGAGTAAATTGTTTGAGTCGCAAGAAGTCAATAGGGGGAAAAAACGTGATTAAGAATTGACATGTGAGAAATAGCTATGTGTGAGTTGAAAATCGTTACACAATTAATCTAATTGTACTTCTAGATAATGAACAGTTTCTCGTTTCCCGCTCAGCAGCTTTGGAAGACAAATTGTTTACCTGAAAGATTAGAAGAGCATGTACTGAATGAATTTGATTTGCATCAACACAAATAAAAGGGACTTGAAAAACCTCAACATATGGTACTGCCACCACCGCCCATGGTTCACCCCCGCCCCCTATAGTCAACGCCTGGGTGTTTGTGCACTCTATATGTGTGAGAGAGGCGATAATCACACAGACTACAGACAAGGACATACTATGTCTCGATTTTTCTCAGACTGTATTTAGCTTTTTGCTCTCCACACTCAGCCATAATGTTACTGTCAGTGAATGTAGGCATCACAAACCAACCTGTTTCAATAGTTCTATATCATCGCAATCATTTTGTTATATACTCTTAATGGACATGGACTGAATAATACTCAATAAAAGAGGAATGCAATACACAAAGCTAAAACAAATCAATACGCCACAACCCATGCAAGATTGATCATGTTGATGAATCCAACAAAAAGGTTAAGTTTGACATAACATGACTGATGGCAGACGTACAACCTTCTGATTAGGCCTGTGCCCTGAATAAAACTGCTACAGTAACCTGGCTGTCACGGTGAACAGAACAAGTCGACAGAGCAGAGACTATGTCTGAAAGCCTTTTAATCCTGAATAAACACTCTCACTACTGAGACCTGAGCAAATAACAACACCCTCATCTCATTCTCATCTCAGTCAGTCTGTTGGCTATCAGCCCATCCATATGATACCCAGATTAGTGCCAACACACAGCACACTGACACATGTTGGTCTCCATAAGGACGTCGCCATCCATGCTTCCTTTTTGTGAGCGAGATGAGGATAAACCACTGATTACAGCCCTCGTCATACTGCTCAAATACCTTAAAAGAATAAGTGCCAGTTCTCCGGAAAGGCCTTGACTCCTGCGAGCACCAATAACCTCCTGTTCACTCCTCCCCCCACACCACCCCGCCTCACCCCACTTCCCCTCTCCCCATTCAGGCGAGATCTAATTCACAGATGAATAATAGATGGAAAGACTTTCATCTACCAAGGTTTTTTCTCTCTTCTCTTGCATTGTGCACTATAGCTGCAGAGATAATGCGGAGGGGAGCATGCATTGGAGATGAGCCATGGGACCCTCTAGTCTGTCTGCTGCTTTAAGTCCCTCTCTCTCTCTCTGGCTATCCCTCCATCTGATAAAGAAGGAGGAGAGGAAGCGAGGGAGCAGCATCTCCCCACTCTTCATCCAATTAGTCCCCTGCTTTTTCATGTTCATTATCCTGCTTCGATTAATCTCTGACCTTGAATTCCCTCTCAGCTCTTTATTGACCCTCCCATCTCCGGAGCATCAGCCAGAATGTTTACTATCCTAGTATACTACCCCCAACTCCTTGATATCTTTAACAATCTCCACTAGATAAATGCCCCTGGGCTTCTTCCTCCTCTCCTCCAACTGTAAAAGCTGGAACATGCAAGGCTTTGTCTACAGATGTACAGCCAGAAGACTGAGATACAGGTGGTACCAGGCAGCTAGCACTGCTGAGGAGGAATAAACCCACAAACACTGAGCAATTAGCATTTTGATCCAAATCGGAGCGGCAGCTTGTGAAGCAGTCCATCAATAATGCAGGCTGGTGGGAGACCGTGGCTGCTAGGTTACTGGCCCACTGAATGTACAGGGCTGTGTCCTTGGGCTACTGGGGAGATCTCCTGCTCAGAGCTCCTGCCTAGATCCACACAGGGGCCTCTCCTATAGCTGGGCCTACTGTAATAACAGCTGCTGTACCTAGGCACACGTGAGTGGACTAACAATCACAAAAATAATACCACCACCAGGCTTCAAATAGCCAGCCATGTCCATCAGCAACCAACAGCAACAGACAAAATGGAGGCCGCCCATCGCAGACGGCGGAGAGTTGCGAGTGGAAAGCAGCATGAAAGGTGGAGGTATCTGTGGTATCTGGGAGTGTGATTGATGTTAGCGCTTTCATCAAGTGGATTATGTACTTATCTCACATTAATATTCCTCCTCATATGAAATTCATTGGCACTAAAAGGGGAATGGCAGCACTGAGGTCAATTGTGGCAAGGTTTTAACTACCATGTTTATTTTCCTTAATTCATTCAATGAAGGTGGCTTTGAAGTGCAATATTAAATGTGTCCAGTTGAGGTGTGAGAACAAAAGGCTGCCATATTGAGGATGATAGTGAGTGAGTGTAGTGCTGTTCAGTGGTCTTTGATCAGAGAAAGGCAGGCAGGCTAATTGCTAGTGCCTGCTCTCTCAGCAGGCAACAAGCTTGTCCCCCTCTCCTCACTGATAACAGCACTGCCTACTGCTCCACTCTGTGGACCTCCACCAATGCAGACAGAGGAGTCTGTCTGGGGCTGCAACCAAACACGTGATATACTCACACATCACTATCTCACCAATTTTACAACCAGCGAAAATCAAGATAACTTCTAATATTGTCTCCCTCCACGTCAGCTTCCTACATAATAATCTGATTGGCGGGCGCTTCAGTCTTTGTTGACCGAGTTACCTGAAGTGTGCTGGAGCTTAGCTGCTGGTATTGAACCTGAGGACTGAAGTTGAGAAACAATTGCTGTTCTGCTATTGTTCGAGATACACAGGAAACACCTCCACATATGAAAAAACAGCCATGGTGTGAAGAGAGGAGGGTTGAAGATGGCTGGCTGAGGTAATAGCTAGCAATAGCATTGAAAACACATAGGCTAGCTGTGTAATCAAGGTATGAACTGTCTCATATTTCATTGCAATAATAGTGTAATCAGGCTGCACTGAGGTCAATTTTTCCTGCCGGGTCAGTGGTGAGAGCAATGAAAGAGGGAGAGCAGCCTGTCCAGAAGGCTGCTCCTAAACCCAACTGAGCCATCATGGTTTATTATGGTGCTTTACCCTTTTACAGTTAAACTGCAGCTGCTCCATACAATAATATCACAGAACAACACTGATAAAGAGGTACAGTGAGGGAAAAAAGTATTTGATCCCCTGCTGATTTTGTACATTTGCCCACTGACAAAGACATGATCAGTCTATAAATTTAATGGTAGGATTATTTGAACAGTAAGAGACAGAATAACAAGAAGAAAATCCAGAAAAACGCATGTCAAAAATGTTATAAATTGATTTGCATTTTAATGAGGGAAATAAGTATTTGACCCCTCTGCAAAACATGACTTAGTACTTGGTGGCAAAACCCTTGTTGGCAATCACAGAGGTCAGACGTTTCTTGTAGTTGGCCACCAGGTTTGCACACATCTCAGGAGGGATTTTGTCCCACTCCTCTTTGCAGATCTTCTCCAAGTCATTAAGTTTTCGAGGCTGACGTTTGGCAACTCGAACCTTCAGCTCCCTCCACAGATTTTCTATGAGATTAAGGTCTGGAGACTGGCTAGGCCACTCCAGGACCTTAATGTGCTTTTTCTTGAGCCACTCCTTTGTTGCCTTGGCCATGTGTTTTGGGTCATTGTCATGCTGGAATACCCATCCACGAACCCATTTTCAATGCCCTGGCTGAGGGAAGGAGGTTCTCACCCAAGATTTGACGGTACATGGCCCCGTCCATCGTCCCTTTGATGCGGTGAAGTTGTCCTGTCCCCTTAGCAGAAAAACACCCCCAAAGCATAATGTTTCCACCTCCATGTTTGACGGTGGGGATGGTGTTCTTGGGGTCATAGGCAGCATTCCTCCTCCTCCAAACACGGTGAGTTGAGTTGATGCCAAAGAGCTTGATTTTGGTCTCATCTGACCACAACACTTTCACCCAGTTCTCCTCTGAACTTCAGACGGGCCTGTATATGTGCTTTCTTGAGCAGGGGGACCTTGCGGGCGCTGCAGGATTTCAGTCCTTCACGGCGTAGTGTGTTACCTATTGTTTTCTTGGTGACTATGGTCCCAGCTGCCTTGAGATCATTGACAAGATCCTCCTGTGTAGTTCTGGGCTGATTCCTCACCGTTCTCATGATCATTGCAACTCCACGAGGTGAGATCTTGCATGGAGCCCCAGGCTGAGGGAGATTGACAGTTCTTTTGTGTTTCTTCCATTTGCGAATAATCGCACCAACTGTTGTCACCTTCTCACCAAGCTTCTTGGCGATGGTCTTGTAGCCCATTCCAGCCTTGTGTAGGTCTACAATCTTGTCCCTGACATCCTTGGAGAGCTCTTTGGTCTTGGCCATGGTGGAGAGTTTGGAATCTGATTGATTGATTGCTTCTGTGGACAGGTGTCTTTTATACAGGTAACAAACTGAGATTAGGAGCACTCCCTTTAAGAGTGTGCTCATAATCTCAGCTCGTTACCTGTATAAAAGACACCTGGGAGCCAGAAATCTTTCTGATTGAGAGGGGGTCAAATACTTATTTCCCTCATTAAAATGCAAATCAATTTATAACATTTTTGACATGTGTTTATCTGGATTTTTTTGTTGTTATTCTGTCTCTCACTGTTCAAATAAACCTACCATAAAAATTATAGACTGATCATTTCTCAGTGGGTAAACGTACAAAATCAGCAGGGGATCAAATACTTTTTTCCCTCACTGTATTATGCATCAAACCTCAACAAGGAAGGTAAGGTACTCAGGGGAAGACACATAAAGACTCCCCTCATTCCATTCAATCTGCAGTTTCATTATGCAATAAAAACACATGGCTTTCAGTCCTCCAAGCTATGTATTATAGAGCAGCCTAGAGAGACTATAAAACATTTTACTGCCAGTTTGTGATACCCAAGACCTTGGCTAACTAACCCAATGTACGTGTTGTCTATGGGAAATAATATTTCTGGTGTCTACCTGTGAGCGGTCAATAGCATAACCCTTCCCCCACATTCCCCCTCCACCTCGGTCAAGCTGCTGGGAGGTGGGAGAGCCCCGTCCTTCCCCATGTGAATCATCCTGGATCACCCCTGATGTAACACTGCCAATGGACTATGCCACTATGGCATGTAACATTACTGAGAAATAGTTCCGGGGGCACACTAATTCCTCCCATTGCTGTGTTTATCTGCAGATATTGTTCTCAAATCTCATAATCGGCAGGCTAATTGAATTGGACTTGATCTAATTCAATCTCACTGGAGGGAGAGAGAGAGGGGAGCAGAGGAGCCTGAACTCAAGCCAGCTGCTCCTCAGTGCGTTCTCCTGGTCTGAGCTGCAGTGCAAATGCCGTTTTAATTAAAACTAGGGAGCAAGAACAAAGGATCTCACAAGAGGTTAAATGCCATACCAGACACTACAGCCACTCTGGTGCTGCATGTAACTAGAACAAGCTCTCTTAATTATTGAACATTCATCACAGTCAGGTAGGGAGCGCTGAACAAGGCATTTGTCAACATCAAAATATTATCAGTCTGGCATAAAAATCAACACCAATGCAACAGGTAGTATTGTATGGGCAATCCAGTATTGAGTCAGAGCTGAGGGATTGTGTCTCTGGGAAGGTTTAAGATATTAATCTCCATCTAAAATGGCTCTCACATTCAAACCATCCAAAGAATGCTCTCAGCCTGACTACAGGAAAGCATACGGTGTTGAAAACAGTGACACACACACACACACACACTGTGCCCTGCATCTGCCCCTGCCGCTGCCCATCAATGTCTTGGGGCGCTTGTTGACAGACTCTTTGTGGAACTCGTGGAGCTATATCATATCCCTTTAGGCTTCCATGTCTTATGCAGAGTGCTCATCATACACATAGGAGATCCCTTCTTCAGTCATTATGGTAGGCTATGTATAAAACATAGCAAGAATCTCAAATCCTGCGGGACTACAACTGGCCATATCCTTGTTTGCTGGAGTAACATGCACTTCTGAAGTATCTGACAGAAGCCTGCAGTAAGAGAAGGACCTGACAGAGACTTTGAAGTGCTGTACTCCTCCATGTTGAATCTCTACTACAACTAGGCTATGTCAGGTAGCGGGCCAACTAGAGGGGGCGGTAATAACCCAGTAAACTGTCTCCCGGAGGCACCAGTAATCTCTCGGAATACCAAACCTCACTCAGACACGGCAGGCCTCGCTGCCGAGAGAGAAAAAAACATAGCATAAATCAGATTCCCGTAATTAGTATATCATTGAGGGGTGATTTAATAAAATCATTACTTTTTTTACTCAATCAGATTTGACACAGGGTTTGTGTGAGGAGGCTATGCTAAGCTTGTATTTCATGGGAAGCCTGTTAATCTTGTTCCTCATATGAAAAGTAAACAGTGACTGGCGCTACAGTACAGGGTCTCAATAACCTTCACTATGTGCTCCTGTACAGTTATCTAGTCCCCCATGTATTCCTCCTCCCATCCATCTGTTTTTCCACCCATTTACCCTTCACAGTGGCTGGACTTTAAAGGAGGGGTAGGATTTTCCCAGAGATGGAGGAGTGAGTGAGTGACCTATGTATGGCAGCTCTGACAGAGGACAGACAGGACGTGACTCATCAGCCATATTGGGGATAAGGCCAACCTGACACCCTCAGGAGAATGGTGTATAGATGAGAGACAGCTCACATATGTTATCGCCAAAGTAGACACACAGACAACTCTTTCATTTAGGCTTTACATGCCATCATTGGCTGAAATAGGATGGTGAAAGTTTTATGTGATTAATGGTACTGTCAATGACGGTTCACTACGCTGTTTTCCTCTCATCATGATGCAACTACAGACTACTGTACTAGAGACTATAAACACAGGCTGACAGTGAGGTATTTGTCAGCTCATACCATGCTTCATGAGTGGTGAGTCTTTTGGAGTCATGTAGCAAAAACCCACCAGCCCTTCAATTTCTCAACCTCCAACTCTGGACACAGTGAGGGTGGGTTCCAGCCAGCTGACCATTGAGCACAGTCTCAGTTCTGCTTCTGTTTCCTGTGCTTGTTCCAGCCCTGTTCAGGCCTTTATTCTGCTGAATCAATCTCCTACCCTATCAGCCGCACCTGCCAACTTCCTCTCTTTTGCAGTTTTAAAGCTAATTTCCTGCAATTCTAGACATTTTGGTATCATTTGCTAAGTGGGGGCCCTCGACCTCCAGCACTGCACAGCGGTGGGGCGGTCACTGCACCCAGAACACAGTGGCTGCACTGTGATGTGAGGGGTAGCTGGATGATCACTGCAATTTCCTCTATTTGTTGCAGGGCCTGTTATTTTCGGGGTGTCCGAACGGGTGCAGTGCGGGAAGAGCTCATTCTGTCCGTGGACCAGGAGTTTCCTTACCTTCTATGGATGGGGCCTGATCCTGGGCTGCATACAGCAGATCCTTGAACGCCTGGTAAAGGAAGAAAGCAGAGGGATAATCACTTTTCAGTTTCTCAACTACTGTACAATCAATGACAGTTGACGTTTAATCAAATCAATTAACACTTTTTCAAATGAGTAAATAATTACAATGATTAGTGATGGTAACATAATGAACAACATACTATTGATTGATAAATTCAAGTAATCTACTTACATAGCCAGTCTCATGAATATTATGATAAGTAAATGACTTCACGCAAATGAAGAAAAAACTAAAAACCTGAAAACTTAGCAGTTTATTAAAAGTATCTGAAATTGCCAAACTCAGTACAGAATGTCTACAGGGGAAAGAAAACATCCTTCGGGAATAATTTATGTTACAACCCCCATGATGTGTGACGATAATGAATGCAGGCTGAGTTATAGGACATCAATGCCCTTGTTTTTAACCATGACGTCTGAAAAATGTGTCAATCAGATTCCAGATCGTTCAAATGAAAACAGATAGAGGCCGGCCTACACTACATTGACCTCTTTATACAGAATGAGGTTATTTCCTTCAATCACTCTGACCTTGCAGATAATTTATATGGCCAGATAATAAATTACAAGATACATCTTAATATGATTCTCTAGTCTGGGACTGTGAGGCCTGGAACTGAATACATCTCTATTCCTCCCCACCAATCTAACTAACTTGCTCTCTGGAGCAATAGCAGTAACTGGGAACACGTTTCTTGGCCGTCCAGTCAAAATAATTACGCTTGTGGCCTTCACTGAGATAGACAGGTACCCGAATGACGAACTTTGTGTTTTGTGCAACAGTGTAGAACCAATATTTTTTTATTCAAAGCTTAGATGTGACAAAGAATCTCAACCTCACTATACTGTATATGTAGCTTTTGTTCCATTCCCCTATTCTCTGGCCAGGTTTATCTGATGTTTGTATTAAGTGGATATATGAGAGCAGAGGATGACAATTAATCATAGTATGTAGAAGGAACCTACATAGAAACTCAGTTTGTTCTCTGTTCTACCTGAACACTAATACTGCAGTCAGTTATTACTGTATGCTCATATTGAACACTAATCCAAGAGAAACATTTTATTTGTAGATAACATTCTCTTCGGAAATTGTGATTTGCAGTAGACCACCTGTGCAAACATTGGGTCATGTAGCAGTGCTTACTGGCCCAGACTAATAGCTGGAAGAGACAGAGGGGACACATTCATCAAGATGGAGGCATATTGCCATGGCAATAGCACCGATGGGAAAGGGGGCAGGGCGGCTCTTTGGGGAATTTACATGCTCTGATTGTAGCCTACTACACCAGCTTACAGAGATCAACCTGCAGGTATCATCTGACCTAATGGGTCTGTTAGTCTTCTGTTGAAGTGAGTTGTACAGTAGTAATAATATCAACGACAGAATTGCAGGTGCTGGGTGGTCTGAGATCTGAAATGATGGTTCTGATAATTCTCATAATCACTTTAACTAAGTGGATCTCTGAGTGCAGGAGCTGTACTGTAAAACTGAGGCAGGGCTGACTGAGACCAGATGCCTTCCCAGTAGGGGACAGAGGATGAGTTGTGGGAAGCTCACCATTCCATCTCTGTTATCTAAGTAAGATGGATATATTACACCAGAACGCAGACATTTTGTGTCGGCTATAAACTAGCATGATCATATTCATCATGTTATGTGCAATTATTTATGTTCTCATTTTTACCATGCATCTTTTGTCAATGTCATTAAGTACAGTGGTTGGAATAGTAAAACCTTTAATATGAATCAATATTTTTTTTTTTATTGTTCACATTATCCAATTTATGCAGAGGGATTCATCTTGCAATGTGTGCCACTGGCAGAGCTAAATATATACCTGGACAGAGAGAGTGGGAAACGGGCCCCACACAGTAACCTCTGCATATAATTTACACCTGTGTACCTGCTTATGATATAAATAATAGCATGTCCCTTTTTCAATAGGAAATTAGCTTACATAAGTATTCTCCTGCATATTTAAACCCACACAAGTGATTAGATTGCAGAGGTAAAGGCAAAAGAGGCTTCATTCTGTCACCCACCCACGCTACCGCATAACCCTCTCCACCTTGCTCACAGTCATGTTGCAGCTTCTGTTTCTCCACCTCTGAGAGTACAGTATACCACACTCACACAGAGCAGACCAAGAACCAGACCAAGGTTCAGCCTAGACCGAACCAAGACCATGTACCAACTGCACTAGCCAAAAGGAAAGGTCCATAAGATAAAAAAAACAGAAAGGACAAAGGGAGCTGTTTTATGCTGTTTGTTTTCATTATCTATGAGTGTGAGATGAATCTCTAATAATGCCAGCGTATCACACAGGAACGAGCTCTGCTTTTACGGCTGACCTCTGGTCTTCTAATGAGCGTTGGACAGACCTCCATTCTAAACAGGTGTTTAAAATGGACAGCCTCGTAGGATGAGAAGACTTCATTAATTTATGACTCAATCGCCTTACCAATTCCTCAATTCACATGCAAGCGTTTTAGTGGTTAAGGTGTTTTTTCTCCCATGCGGCCCAGCCAACTGCCCTGCTGCAGTCAAACAGATGCATTTATAACAATCCAGACAATATTGCATTTGGAACAAAATAGAAGAAAAAGTAACTTCATTGATTGATGGTAATAAACCTTTACAGAGACAAATGAGCAGTAAAACTAAAGCAAAGGACAAAACTAAACCAGGGAGACTTGTTGTTGCTGATGTTTCTACCACGACACCTTGTTCAAGACAAGTCTAAGGGACAGACTGAGCTCAACGCTGTTTTGGCAATAAACAGACAAAAATACATAACCTTATTCCTGCACTAAGTCCGCACTCACCGAGCTGCATAGGGCCATAAGCCAACAAGAAAATGCTCATCCAGAGGCAGCACTCCTAGTGGCCTGTGATTTTAATTTCAGGAAAACTAAAATCTGTTTTACCTAATTTCTACAAGCATATCACCTGTGAAACAAAAAAACTGTAGATCACCTTTATTCCACACACAGAGACGCATACAAAGCTCTTCCTCGCCTTCCATTTGGCAAATCTGACCATAACTCTATCCTCCTAATTTACAAGCAAAAACTCAAACGGGAAGTACAAGTGACACACTCAATTCGGAAGAGGTCCGATGAAGCATATGCTAAACTAAAGGACTGGTCCTCTAGCACAGACTGGAATATGTTCCGGGATCCAGCCGATGGCATTGAGGAGTTTACCACATCAGTCATCGGCTTCATTAATAAGTGCATCGACGGCATCATCCCCACAGTGACCGTACGTACATATCCCAACCAGAAGCCATGGATTACAGGCAACATCCACACTGAGCTAAAGGCTAGAGCTGCTGCTTTCAAGGAGCGGGACACTAACTTATAAGAAATCGCGCTGTGCCCTCCGACGAACCATCAAACAGGCAAAGCGTCAATACAGGAGTAAGATCGATCCTACTACACCGGTTTTGACGCTCGTCGGATGTGGCAAGGCTTGCAAACTATCACGGATTACAAAGGGAAACCCAGCCACGAGCTGCCCAGTGACACGAGCCTACCAGACAAGCTAAATGCCTTCTATCCTCGCATCGAGGCAAGCAACACTGAACCATGCGTGAAAGCACCGATGTAAGTAAGACCTTTAAACAGGGTAACATTCACAAGGCCGCAGGGCCAGATGGATTACCAGGACGCGTATTCAGAGCATGCGCTGACCAGCTGGCAAGTGTCTTCACTGACATTTTCAACCTCTCCCTGACCCAGTCTGTAATAGCTACATGTTTCAAGCAGACCACCATAGTCCCTGTGTCCAAGAATGCCAAGGTAACCTGTCTAAATGACTATCGCCCCGTAGCACTCACATCTGTAGCCATGAAATGCTTTGAAAGGCTGGTCATGGCTCACATCAACACCATCATCCCAGACACCCTGGACCCACTCCAATTCGCATACTGCCCCAACCTCTATTGCATTCCACACTGCCCTTTCCCACTTGGACAAAAAGACCACCTACGTGAGAATGCTGTTCATTGACTACAGCTCAGCGTTTAACACCATAGTGCCCTTGAAGCTCATCACTAAGCTAAGGTCCCTGGGACAGAACACCTTCCTCTGCAACTGGATCCTGGACTTCCTGACGGGCCGCCCCCAGATGGTGGGGGTAGGCAACAAAACATCCACCACGGTGACCCTCAAAACGGGGACCCTCAGGGGTGTGTGCTTAGTCCCTCCTGTACTCCCTGTTCACCCACGACTGCGTGGCCACACAAGACTCCAACACCATCATTAGGTTTGCCGATGACACGGCGGTGGTAGTCCTGATCACCGACGATGATGAGATAGCCTATAGGGAGGAGGTCAGAGACCTGGCAGTGTGGTGCCAGGACAACAACCTCTCCTTCAATGTCAGTAAGACAAAGGAGATGATCGTGGACTACAGGAAATGGAGGGCCGAGGAATCCCCCATTCATATCGACAGGGCTGTAATGGAGCGGGTCAAGAGCTCCTCGGTGTCCACATCACTAAGGATCTATCATGGTCCAAACACACCAACACAGTCGTGAAAAGGCCACGACAACGCCTCTTCCCCCTCAGGAGGCTGAAAAGATTTGGCATCAGCACTCAGATCCTCAAAACCTTGAACAGCTGCACCATCGAGAGCATCTTGACTGGCTGCATCACCGCTTGGTATGGCAACTGCTTGGCATACAACCACAAGGCACTACAGAGGGTAGTGCGTACGGCCCAGTACATCACTGGGGCCGAGCTCCCTGCCATCCAGGACCTCTATACCAGGCGGTGTCAGAGGAAGGCCCAAAATATTGTCAAAGAATCCACCCACCCAAGCCACAGACTGTTCTCTCTGCTACCGCACGGCAAGCGGTACCAATGCACCAAGTCTGGAACCAACAGGACCCTGAACAGCTTCTAACCCCAAGCCATTACACTTCTAAACAAGACTGCTAAATAGCTAATCAAATGGCTACCCAGAGTAGCTACCTGCATTGACCATTTTTTGCACTCTCTCTTGCACTGACTCTATGCACACACACTGGACTCTACCAGCACACTCACACATACTTACACCGACACCCCAAAACACACATACGCCCACAAACACATAACATGCACAAACATGCATACTGATGACACACACTCACACACACACACACACCACATACACTGCTGCTACTGTCTATTATCTATCCTGTTGCCTAGTCAGTTTACCCCTTCCTATATGTATAGTACATACAGTGCATTCAGAAAGTATTCAGACCCCTTGACTTTTTCCACATTTTCTACGTTACAGCCTTATTCTAAAATGGATTAAATAAAACATTTTCCTCATCAATCTACACAAAACCCCATAATGAAAAAGCAAAAACAAAATTTTAGAAATGTTTGCAAATGTATTAAAAATAAAAAACATAAATACCTTATTTACATAAGTATTCAGACCCTTTGCTGTGAGACTCAAAATTGAGCTCAGGTGAATCCTGGTTCCATTGATCATCCTTGAGATGTTTCTACTGTCACGTCTACCCCTGCTCCCCCGCTCCGGCCCTCGACGTCGCCGGTCTACTAACCACCGGTCCTGGCAACCATCATTACGCACACCTGGACTTCATCACTCCGTGATTACTTCCCCTTTATCTATCACTCCGTTGTATCACCCATTAGGTAGTATTGTTTCCTGTTTTCAGGAAGCCACTCCTCAGTAAAAGGCACATGACAGCCCGCTTGGAGTTTACCAAAAGGCACCTAAAGGACTCTCAGACCATGAGAAACAAGATTCTCTGGTCTGATGAAACCAAGATTGAACTCTTTGGCCTGAATGCCAAGCGTCACGTCTGGAGGAAACCTGGCACCATCCCTACGGTGAAGCATGGTGGTGGCAGCATCATGCTGTGGGGATGTTTTTCAGAGGCAGGGACTGGGAGACTAGTCAGGATCGAGGCAAAGATGAACGGAGCAAAGTACAGAGATCCTTGATGAAAACCTGCTCCAGAGCGCTCAGGACCTCAGACTGGGGCGAAGGTTCAACAGGACAAATACCCTAAGCACACAGCCAAGACAATGCAGGAGTGGCTTCAGGACAAGTCTCTGAATGTCCTTGAGTGGCCCAGCCAGAGCCCGGACTTGAGCCCGGACTTGAGAGGATCTGCAGATAAGAATGGGAGAAACTCCCAAAATGCAGGTGTGCCAAGCTTGTAGCGTCATACCCAAGAAGACTCAAGGCTGTAATCGCTGCCAAAGGTGCTTCAACAAAGTACTGATTAAAGGGTCTGAATACTTATGTAAATGTGATATTTCCGGGGTAAAAAAATAAATACAAATGTTTTAAAAAATCTAAAAACATGTTTTTGCTTTGTCATTATGGGGTATTGTGTGTTTAATTTATTTTAGAATAAGGCTGTAACGTAACAAAATGTGGAAAAAGTAAAGGGGTCTGAATACCTTCCGAATGCACTGTGGCTACATCAATTATCTCGTACGCCTGCACATCGACTCGGTACTGGTACTCCCTATATATAGTAATGTTATTTTCTACTCCCTATATATAGCCATGTTATTTTTACTCATTATTTGTATCCTCGTGTCACTATTTCTATATATATTTTTGTATCTTATCTTTAACTCTGCATTGTTGGAAATTGACCCTTAAGTAAGTATTTCACTGTTAGTCTACACCTGTTGTCTACAAAGCATGTGACAAATAAAATGTGATGATGATATTTCCGGGGGGGGAAAATGTAGTTAACTATCTTCTCAAAGAGTCAGAGACTCTTGGCAATCGTTGCTTGTGCCTCCCCTCATGTCCATAACAGACAAATGGGTCAGACAGTTGAAGAAGCCTAACACACAAAGTATGCATTGCAAGTCTGAGGCAGGCCTATGGTTTAATTTACTATGCAATGACTGTGCAATGAAATGACTGTGCAATGAAATATAATGCCTTTTGCTATTATGATTTAATTCCCATGTTTAACACCCATCTGATACTGTACAGATTACAGTTGTAACACCAATCTACTTGGAGAATTTGGATTGACTTTGCTTGGCCACAGGAGGGTTATCTAATGCTCATGCACCAGCATCTGATATAAACACCTATAAGTGCATTCAATGGATGAAATGAAAAACAACTCCATATGGGATTCTAGTATGGAGCTCTGTAATAAATTATCCCACAATAAAACATCAACCAGATCCATTACTCTAAGGTATTTTCCTTTTCAATTAAGCAATTACATATAACAATGTTGTTGCTGTAGTAATACCAGTGTTAATACACAGGTATAAAAGCAACTTGTACAGTGTTACAATGTTTCATAATATCCGTATTTGTAATCAGAATAATTCCGACCAGATCTCTGTCAATACAACACAACAGCCTAAGAAGACCAGACAATACATATTTATTTCACTTAGAGAAAAATACTAAAAGTCCAAAGCAAAGTGATTTTTTGAAAATACAATTTCATATAAATATTTTTCCAACATGGCATGGCAGCTCTGAGAAGGTCATCCATCTCAAAGCTGACTGAGGTGTAAAATGGCTGATATGGCCATGTATTGGACTCCATGCATCAGGCTGCAAATATAGACAAAGACTAGTGTGGCCATATGTGTTTTACACTCACCTAATCCAAATGAAAGCACATACCTTCCTGTAGCTACTTGACGGTTTGCTAGATCAATTAAGATAATTATAAGTTGTATATGAACTTATCTTGTTATAGCATGGTATAAGCCCACAGAGTGAGGCATGCAGGTTTGATAGTGGGATGCAGACTAAGAATCTTCCAGAGGCTCGCATCAGCATCTTTGTCTATAATTCATAGAACAAAATGGAATGGGGCAGCCTTGTAAGAGCCTTTCTGCAGTCAGGCTCTTAACGTGAACCAAGAAGATGTGGGGTGTGACACTGAAAATGCTCCTGAGACTGCTTTCTCCAAACCATAGACACAACAAAAATTGCCAGTTTTAGACTTTTTGGTTTTGGCTAGGCTATATCTAATTCAATCAATTAAAGCTTTTCAAACAAAGCAAGCCATAATATCTAATTAACCAAAATTGCAATTAACAAAATAACTTACATAATAGCGTTATTCAATCAAATCAGTTATGTCGCAAGAAGATATAATTTATCAGGATATTAGAAATGTATGAATTATAATGAAAATATTGTATTGTGATTTTACCCATTTACTGAGAATATCCTATGCATAATAATTGACATCTATTTTATTCAAAAAGTTAAATTTAACATTCATAAATAACCCACAAATATTGTAAATCTGCTTTCCAACACTGGAAAACAATAACAATGGACTAAGCCACGTAAATACTATCCTAATTGTTCAGCATTCCAATGTAATGTTCGATATAGCGCACGCGACGGCTGTAGTGACAGATAGAGTGTATGTCAACAAATGGAAAGAAAGATAACAATGTATCCCGTATATATAATAATTCAGTTTGTAAATAAAATAACAATTAACACAATGAATATGGGTATGAATAGCAAGTATTTGAACAAAAGTATTGTACAATCAAACTGACAGCCTCAGGAAAGGTTGCACAAAGATAACTATGATGCACAAAATCATTGCCTAAAATTTTAAAACAATCTAAATTAAATAAATAAAACAGCTTGGTTTATCAAAAGGAAAGTTACAGCCAACGCAATAGCCTACCATAACTATCCGTATCTACATATTCAAGCATTATTTTGTTACACTATTCAAGAAGTAGGCTAAAAGTGAAAGTGACAGCTATAGGAAAACACAAATCAAGATTAATACAATTTACAAAGACCAATACCAATACCATTTTATGCTATAAATTCATTAGGTATTCATTAACATGGATTTGAGTCACTTTTCTCACTTTAAATCAGAAAGCATTATCCTACTTCAAAACACAAACATGGGTAATTACCTCATATTGAAGGTACTGTTTCCTCCATTCCGGAGTAATATGGGACGAAAGGTGTTCCGCGAATTTCATTTTGCGGCTATCTACTCAACGTCCGTAATTCCTAGTAGGACTGTCCCCTGTTGACGCAAGTTTTGTTATTTCTGTCAACTTGCTGGCTCGCATGCGTCAGCCTACTCTAGGGCACTCTGTCTTATCCCGGTTAGCGTACTCCAAAGAAACTCCGTCCCATACTATTTTGTGGGAGGGATGGCGGAACAGAGGCCTCCCTCCCTATAACAGGTGGTTTGATGACAATATAACGGTCCCAGTGCAAATGCTTCAGTGACTTTCTCCCTTCGAGTCCTTGTCAATTCTGGGGACATTGCAGTTTGCCATCGTATTCAGCCAACAACGTGGTTGCGTCACTGCGCAGTGACAGCAGGCGCCGTGTATCAGAGGTGTATTCATTACGTCTTGCAAAGGAAACCGTTTATCGGTTAAGAACCAAACAGAAGCAAACAGAGAAAATGGAACGAAACGGGGAGGAACTTCCCTGAATTCGTCCAATAGAAACTTTCGTTTTCGTTGCTAAACATTTTCCGTTTGGAGTAAAACGTTTTGCAACAGAACGAAACGTATTGAAACAGAGTCGGCGTAATGAATATACCCCTGAAGACCCCCTATTGCGCTTCCTCTGTCTTTTCTCTATTGGTTGATTATTTGTAGACAAATGTTTTCCACATGTATAGCCTACCTGCATGAATTATGGTATGCCTATTGATTAATACGAACCTGGGTGGAATCCTCTAGCTGTCACTTTCACTTTATTTCTAGAGGTGTGAGATTTCTGGGAATATGCCTCAGAATTCCGGGCCGCATCATTAAAAAATCTATTGGGTAAAATAATCCTGGCTGACACCCATTTCTGTATTTGCCAATAGTCACAGACAATATATATACATTTTAGCCAAGTTTATTATTCTATTAGGTTAGATCATTTTAATTTAGGCTATAGACATTGAAGCTTCTGAACTTTAGAAAGACTCACCAACTTTTACCTCGCCACACAATCACATGAAATGGCTACTCAAATGTCTGTAGACAAGGTCATTCCATAGCCTATCTTATAATGAGAGGAAATGACAGAAACAAAAAATGTTTTAATAAGGTCGGGAATGAAAGAGCATCGTTAAAAGTTTATGGATCTGATTTTTTAATTCCCATTTGTTTCACTGTAATTGTCTCTGACTTCTCCATTTATTTATCGTCTTTGAGCAACAATAGGCTGGCGTACTGACCATATAATGAGGGTTGACGACCACCAATATGTCAACACAAATAAAGTTACTTTGTTGGTCTGGTTTTGTTTCCAGACCATCCATCTTCTCTGAGGCCAAGTGGTGTACCAGGATCCACAATGTAAGGTGCACAATTTTTTCTCTTTCATTCACAATAGCCTACCTCTCATTGCGCGTCTGCACTGCTAATATGAATCATCCGCCTGTTGGAGTTCCATTCCATCATGATGACTGCAAAGCGAGACCCGTGTGGGTGCGTGCAGTTTAATGTTGCCACCTGCAATAACAGATCAACACGTTGTAAATACTGCCATCTGCTGGACGACTATTACTAATTCAACAGGCTACAGTTACATAGGCTACAATTGCAATTAGTTAATTCTCTTACGAAAAAAGATTGCAGTCAGAGTGCAGTATAACTGCAGTTAGAGTGCAGTATAACTGCAGTATGCTGCAAATACTGCGTCCAAAATAACACAGTTTTTTTTACTGCAGTAATTTTGCAGTGTAACTGTAAACTTTTTTTGTAAGGGTTCTGATAGTCTTTTCTGTTTTATTTAACCAGATAATATAATTATAATAATAAAGCTGCTCTTGTCAGTAGGCTACAATATTTTCTATTGGGTAGTCACTTTCTCGACATAGGCTGCTACGTCTTTTGGGCAGAAAAACAAATTATGGCTATATAGGCTATATAGGCTAAAAAATATTGCCATTTTGGTAGAAAATATAAATAAATTAACAGCGGCTGCAGGACTAATAGCCTAGGAAGCCGATAGTTAGCGCTTGATCTGCACTATCGTTCTAGGATGGATGTGCCCACAGGTAATACACTCGTGTCCCCCCGTGGACCGTCTCGTAGATAAAGCATCCTCCATTCAGGCTGCAAAGGCATAATTTCCCTCCTAGCTTTAATGGAGGGCCGTCGGAAAAAAAACTGGAAAAATATGTGTAGGCTACTCTCTTAACATAACACAATTTTCCACCACAATTTTCGGAATTTCTGACAATTTAGGCACATCGCGTTCAGCCATTTTTTCCGACGGTCCGCGATTAAAGCCAATTAAGGAGGGAATTTATGCATTTGCAGCAGAATGGACGAGCCGGTCCACGTGTAGTGTCGTAAACCCGACCCTAGGCAAAGTTGAAACAGTGACGGAGCCAACAAATCTGCTAGGGAGACTAGTCCAGCACATAAATCTTAGACGATAGTGCAGATCTAGCGCCAACTATTGGCTGCCTAGGCTACAGGTCTAACAAACGCCAACGATTTTCGGCTTGGTATAGGCCTTCATCAGAGATTTTTGTGACACATATAGTATATCCAAATGTTCCTGACACCAGACACCACGCTTTTTTACACTACTGTGTGTACCTGTCTGTACCACTAGAAACATGCATTTAGATTCAGTGGTTGTAAAGATGGGGAGAGGTCTGTCCGTAATAAAGAGATGCTCTGCTTTTTTGACACAACACTCCACAAAGCAAGTCCTGCAGGCACTAGTTTTATCTTACTTGATTATTGTCCAGTCATATGGTAAAGTACTGCAAAGAAAGACCTAGTTAAGCTGCAGCTGGCCCAGAACAGAGCAGCACTTCTTGCTCTTCATCCTAATCAGAGGGCTAATATTTATGCTATGCGTGCCAGTTTCTCTTGGCTAAGAGTTGAGGAAAAACTGACTGCATCACTTCTTGTTTTTATAAGAAACATTAATGTGTTGGAAATTCCAAATAGTTTGCATAGTCAACTTACACACAGCACTGACACACACATTTAAACCACCAGACATTTTACCAGGGTTCTTTTCACACTCCACAGGTCCAGAAGAAATTCAAGGAAACGTACATTTTATACAGAGCCATGAGTGAATGGAACTCCCTTCCATCTCATATAGTGCAAGTGAACATCAAATCTGTTTTAAAAATAAATAAATAAATAAATAAATAAAGCAACACCTCACGGCACAACGCCTCTCCCCATGTGACCTACTTGTTGTGTGTATGTAGTGACATGTACAGTGAGGGAAAAAAGTATTTGATCCCCTGCTGATTTTGTATGTTTGCCCACTGACAAAGAAATTATCAGTCTATAATTTTAATGGTAGGTTTATTTGAACAGTGAGAGACAGAATAACAACAAAAAAATCCAGAAAAACGCATGTAAAAAATGTTATAAATTGATTTGCATTTTAATGAGGGAAATAAGTATTTGACCCCCTCTCAATCAGAAAGATTTCTGGCTCCCAGGTGTCTTTTATACAGGTAACGAGCTGAGATTAGGAGCACACTCTTAAAGGGAGTGCTCCTAATCTCAGCTTGTTACCTGTATAAAAGACACCTGTCCACAGAAGCAATCAATCAATCAGATTCCTAACTCTCCACCATGGCCAAGACCAAAGAGCTCTCCAAGGATGTCAGGGACAAGATTGTAGACCTACACAAGGCTGGAATGGGCTACAAGACCATCGCCAAGCAGCTTGGTGAGAAGGTGACAACAGTTGGTGCAATTATTCGCAAATGGAAGAAACACAAAAGAACTGTCAAACTCCCTCGGCCTGGGGCTCCATGCAAGATCTCACCTCGTGGAGTTGCAATGATCATGAGAACGGTGAGGAATCAGCCCAGAACTACACGGGAGGATCTTGTCAATGATCTCAAGGCAGCTGGGACCATAGTCACCAAGAAAACAATTGGTAACACACTACGTTGTGAAGGACTGTAATCCTGCAGCGCCCGCAAGGTCCCCCTGCTCAAGAAAGCACATATAGGCCCGTCTGAAGTTTGCCAATGAACATCTGAATGATTCAGAGGAGAACTGAGTTAAAGTGTTGTGATCAGATGAGACCAAAATCGAGCTCTTTGGCATCAACTCAACTCGCCGTGTTTGGAGGAGGAGGAATGCTGCCTATGACCCCAAGAACACCATCCCCACCGTCAAACATGGAGGTGGAAACATTATGCTTTGGGGGTGTTTTTCTGCTAAGGGGACAGGACAACTTCACCGCATCAAAGGGACGATGGATGGGGACATGTACCGTCAAATCTTGAGTGAGAACCTCCTTCCCTCAGCCAGGGCATTGAAAATGGGTCGTGGATGGGTATTCCAGCATGACAATGACCCAAAACACACAGCCAAGGCAACAAAGAAGTGGCTCAAGAAGAAGCACATTAAGGTCCTGGAGTGGCCTAGCCAGTCTCCAGACCTTAATCCCATAGAAAATCTGTGGAGGGAGCTGAAGGTTCGAGTTGCCAAACGTCAGCCTTGAAACCTTAATGACTTGGAGAAGATCTGCAAAGAGGAGTGGAACAAAATCCCTCCTGAGATGTGTGCAAACCTGGTGGCCAACTACAAGAAACGTCTGACCTCTGTGATTGCCAACAAGGGTTTTGCCACCAAGTACTAAGTCATGTTTTCCAGAGGGTTCAAATACTTTTTCACTTATTAAAATGCAAATCAATTCATAACATTTTTGACATGCGTTTTTCTGGATTTTTTTGTTGTTATTCTGTCTCTCACAGTTCAAATAAACCTACCATTAAAATTATAGACTGATCATGTCTTTGTCAGTGGGCAAACGTCCAAAATCAGCAGGGGATCAAATACTTTTTCCCTCACTGTATGTGTAACTGTTAGATGCACACACACGCACACTACATGTTAATGTTTTTAAATGTATGTACATTGTAGTCTTTTGTCTGTAATGTATTTTTCGTTATGTGTCGGACCCCAGTAAGACTAGCTGTCGCCATTGGTGTTGGCTAATGGGGATCCTAATAAATACAACTATTTCTGTCTGGATCTTAGGTCTACGGGACCGTCCACATCGACGGGACTGCAGTGGACAAGGTGATCAAGATCGTCGGCATACACATCACTGACAATCTGAAATGGTCCACCCACACAGACAGTGTGGTGAAGAACCTCAGGAGGCTGAAGAAATTAGTCTTGGCCCCTAAAACTCTCACAAACTTTTACAGATGCACCGTTGAGAGCATCCTGTCGGGCTGTATCACCGCCTGGTATGGCAATTACAGTGCCCGCAACCGCCGGGCTCTCCAGAAGATGGTGCGGTTTTCCCAATGCATCGCCGGGGGCACTCTGCCTGCCCTCCAGGACACCTACAGCACCCGATGTCACTGGAAGGCCAAAAAGATCATCAAGGACATCAACCACCCGAGCCACGGCCTGTTCACCCCAATATCTTCCAGAAGGCGAGGTCAGTACAGGTGCATCAAAGCTGGGACAGAGAGAATGAAAAACAGCTTCTATCTCAAGGCCATCAGACTGTTAAAAAGCCATCACTAGCCGGCCTCCACCCAGTACCCTGCCCCGAACTTAGTCACTGTCACTAGCCGGCTACCACCCGGTCACTCAACCCTGCACCTTAGAGACTGCTGCCCTATGTACATAGACATGGAATCACTGGTCACTTTAATAATGGAACACTGGTCACTTTAATAATGTGTACATACTGTTTTACTCATTTCAAATGTATATACTGTATTCTACTGTATTCTAGTCAATGCCACTTCGACATTGCTCGTCCTAATATTTATATATTTCTTAATTCCATTATTTTACTTTTAGATTTGTGTGTATTGTTGTGAATTGTTAGATACTACTGCACTGTTGTAGCTAGAAACACAAGCATTTCGCTACACCCGCAATAACATCTGCTAAATATGTGTACGCGACCAATAAAATGTGATTTTATTTTATTTGTCAGACTCAGAACCTTTGTTCCTAGTCTTAGTTCTACTCGAGGCTTTTAGTGGGGTGTACCACAGACGGACCATTCGTGCAAACAAGTCCGACTAATACGGATAAAGGATCAAATAAATAGAAACCCGATACATATTAACGTTATATATGCGTAGGCTGTAGAAACTACTGAGAGCGACAATATAAGATTGTCACAGATTTCTTCAGCCATCTTTATTTTTCGACAATGGCATCACGCTCTCCATCGTCTTCACCTGATTCTGCCACAGGCTCAGGTACCGATCCAGCTCGGCCTGATACAGGAGAGCCTCTCGGTGGAGGATCAGACTCCGACTCAGATCTAGGTTTAGGGAAATTCGACTGTGGTGTAGATGACCCGAGTCATCGACTGGAAGGGGAGGAATTGGAACACGAATTTGAGGCAGCGGCAGACCGTCTCCGAGATCTACTTCAGACGGCCAGTAGGGAACAATTGTTGTACCTGTATGCTAGGTATAAACAGGTGACTATCAGATAGCAGCACATCCCAAACTATTTTTTTCATTTGTTATTTAGATAGATGCTAGCTAGAGAGCTATCAGGTGACATGACATGCATATTCAGGCTACATTCATGTCTAATGTTCTAGCTATTGGTGCCACCAAATCATGCCCTTGCATCCACAATATCATTGTTACACTGTTTTGTTGACTTGTGGTGGGGGGAGGTTCACAACAGTTAAGTACACAAATCACAAACAGGTGTATAATCAATTTCCACCTATTGCTTGCCATTGAATGGATAGTGAGGATTCTGCTGAGTGCTGTCAGACAGATGATTAGACTATGCTGCTATTAAATCCATTCCTGAATCATCACCTCTATTTCATATGTTCACAGGTAAAGGTTGGAAAGTGCAATACAGCAAAGCCTGGGTTTTTCGATTTTGAAGGTCAAAGAAAATGGTATGTTTGTCACTGGTTAATCATTGTGCTGATTGATGTGATGTGTTTATTCAATTCCTGGCAGGAATTTGCATGGGTGAATCTAGCCCTTGATCGTGATGATCAGTTCCATTACAGTAAACATAATATAAGGTGTCTTCTGTAGGGCGGAGGTTTGTTAAGAGCCGCAATGCTCAGTCTGAACATGAACATGTACTGTTTTGGAAGCATTAAGGACCTTTCATATCGGCGATAAATAATTCTCTAAAAATATGTTACAGCGCTTGTTTACAGAAAACAGATGGAAGACAGAGTGGACTACCTGTGCTAATTAGCTATCTGCGTCTCTGAACACCTGTGTGTAAATGGAAGCCAGACGCCACAAACGTGTTGTCACTGAAAAATACTGTCAACTGCAACTGTGTTAAAACTGGTTAATGTAGTGTACAGTAAGTGTGTATTTTGCATTTGTGAAATTATTTTGATGTGATAGGAAAGTAAAGGGATTTATGTTTCTAGAACCGTACTGCAATTGAGAATTGATTCACGTTTAGATGGAGTATTTGGCAGTTTTGGTTTCCAGAGCCAATTTGCCCTTTAAACAGAACATGTAAGGTCCTTGGACTAAGGAGTAATATTAGGCTCCTTTAGTCCAATATTGAATCTAGCTCTCAAAATCCTTCTCCGTAGGGTTTTCAACGGTTAGCTTCGCCCATGGTTGGCTGCGTGTGAGCTACAATTCGGACACTGTATTTTAATGTCAAGAAATGTCAATCATCCCTTGCGAAATGGTTTTTGAAACATATGCCCCTTATCTTTCATATCAACGAGAAATAATAGTTCAAATAAAAAATATACTTACTGTAGCAGTTTTGCACAGATCCATAAGCTGTGTGTGAGGAGGAACTGGATAGGAACTACACTTCCTACCCAGTTACGCTTACACACAGATGTTCGGAGCACGCTAGATAGCTATATGAAAGATACTTTCCTTATGTTTCCAAAACCGTACCGGTTTCTACATTCTATTTTTTCTTGTTACAAATTTAAACTCTACTGTATGGTCCTGTTCTCTTGAATGCTTTTGGGAGGGAGAGAAACAATCTTCTGAATGTTGTTGTTATGTTTTGCTACAGGACAGCATGGAAGCAGCTTGAGGACATGAGTGCAGAACAGGCCATGCAGGAGTATGTTTCGTGCATAACTTCACTAGACCCAGACAGCAGTCAGAAGGTAAAAAGCCCTCACAAATCCAAAACTACACTACACTTGATATGATACATTTACATAATACAATTTCCACATGCAGGAAACACTGCAATATGAGAACTGAAACACATGTCTTTCTCACGTTTGAACCATTTTTATTTGTAGGTTTAAGAGTGCCCCTTCTGATAAGAATCCTTAATCCATTGCTTCAGTAGGCTAGACTTGACTTGACTAAATAAAGATAATTAACTTTGACAGCTCCATCTGCACCTTAGAATGCAGTATGGTACATTGACCAGCAGGGGACTCTCACTGACAATGCAGCTTGGCAGAAAGACCACACATTTGTCAAATAAAATTGTATTTGTCACATGCTTTGTAAACAACAGGTGTTGACTAACAGTGAAATGCTTACTTACTGCATTTCACTGTTAGTCTACCGTAAGCATTTCACTGTTAGTCTACCTGTTGTTTACGAAGCATGTGACAAATACAATTAGATTTTATTTGACAAATAGGTGATCTTTCTGCCAAGTTGCATAGTCAGTCAGTGCCCCCTACTGGTCAACATTTGTCCAACATTACCTGATACTGTTTTAGCCTTGCATGCAGACATCTCTTTAATGTTTACAGATTAGAATGAAACCAACTCCAGGAAATGATTTTGTGATTCACTCTTTGTTTTCATCTTCTATGTAGGCAAAATACAATTATTGTGAATTTGACATTATTTGTGAGAGGGTTTTTGATCTATCCTAAATACAAGACGTTTTCTGTGCTCATAGATTGCGTATGTGGTGTACCTGCCTGCATCAGGGGTAGGGTTGTTATGCAGACATGCGCCTGCTCTCTCAGGGAGTAGGGCAATGGAATCATTCACTCACTAAATGATACGCCATTACAATAACAGCCCTGCCAACTGGGACCAAGCAGACTGTCACAGCTGACAGTAGCTAGATTTCCATCTAATTGGCGACAGATTTTCAAGTGAATATTCAAATATTCGCATAAAATAAATATCAGATTATTATGGATAAGAGCAACAATATTTTTGTCAACCAGCAGCCATGCATCGATCATCATGTCACCAGAATAAGACCCTCAATATTTATTGGAAAGGAGCATCAAGATCAATGTGCACTTTAACCACACTGTGAAGTTAATCATCATTGGTTTAATCTGTAGCCTAATAAACTACATGGTTTCCCGATGCGTAGTGAGAGGACCACACGTCATATCACGTGACTCCAAGTTTACTTCGATATGATGGTTATTACAGTGCCTTCAGAAAGTATTCATACACCTTGACCTATTCCGCATTTTGTTGTTACAGCCTGAATTCAAAATTGATTAAATCGGGGGGGTTTCTCACCCATCTATGCACAATACCCAATAATGACAAAGTGAAAACATGTTTTTAGAAATTTGTGCAAATGTATTAAAAATGAAATACAGAAGTATCTCATTTACACAAGTATTCACACTCCTGAGTCAATACTTTGTAGAAACACCTTTGGCGGCGAATACAGCTTTGAGTCATCTTGGTATGTCTGTATCAGCTTTGCACATCTGGATTTGGGGATTTTCTATTATTCTTCCTTGCAGATTTTATCAAGCTCTGTTAAGTTAGATGGGGAGCGGTGGTGAACAGCAATCTTCAAGTCTTTCCACAGATTTCCAATGGGATTCAAGTCTGGGCTTTGGCTGGGCCACTCACCATACTTCACGGTAGGGATGGTGTTAGACAGGTGATGAGCTGTGCCTGGTTTTCTCCTGACATAGCACTTTGCATTCAGGCCAAAGAGTACCATTTTTGTCTCATCAGACCACAGAATCTTTTGCCTTTATGATCTCAGAGCCTTTCACATGCCTTTTTGCAAACTCCAGGTGTGCTGTCATGTGCCTTTTCTCTCAGGTGTGGCTTCCGTCTGGCAGCTCTCCCATAAAGCCCAGATTGGTGAAGTGCTGTAGAGACTGTTGTCCTTCTGGCAGGTTCTCCTATCTGTAGTTCTGTCAGTGGTCATTGGGTTCTTGGTCACCTCCCTGACTAAGGTCCTTCTTGCCAGGTTGCTCAGTTTGGTCAGACGGACAGCTCTAGGCAGAGTCTGGGTAGTTCCATATTTTTAAAATTTCCCAATGTTGGAGACCACTGTGCACACTAGAAATTGTTTTATACCCTTCCCTAGATATATGCCTCATTACAATTCTATCTCAGAGATCTACGGACAGTTACTTGGACTTCATGGTATAGTTTCTGCTCTGACATGCTGTAACACAAAAAAATGCAGAATAAGTCAAGGGGTATGAATACTTTCTGAAGGCACTGTATATCAATATTTGCGCATAAAGGCGTTTCCAAAGCCATTTCTCGCATCATTAATTTTACAGACACAAAAAGATCCCACCATGTCGAACAAACAAATTATCTGTCGGCATTTATAGAATTGTACCGAAACTTCCTATTTCCATCACAGCTGTCATAATTTTTTTTATAGGGTATGACTTTACTCACATAAAAACCAGTGGATGGAATCGTGGTTAATGACACCCTGCCTGCAGTGAGACAATGGGAATGGGGAGGGAGGGCTGCGAAAAAGGCTGAATGAAACACAACATTTTTGTGTTTCCATAGACCAGTCCCTCATTTTGAAGTATGTCATTTCCAGCATGGGTAGGGTATGGTTTGATACAACGGATTCAGACATTTTTTATATTGTTTGTTCCGACCTCTATTTAAAAAGGCTGAGGAAAGTACCAACATGAGAGAAACCCAAATACACTTTTCTTCCCGAATGAAAATTCAGCACAAAGCAGATATGTCCCCTTCTCTAACCTCTGTCCCCAAAGGAGAGATTTCGAGTGATGTTTAGCGGTGTGACATAAAAGCCTGTCACCCGTCCTGTTGTAGCTAGTGCCCTCCACCTGCCTCTCTCCTTCCCCATCCATCCCGCCACAATGTGAGTGTCAGCAGGCATCAGTGGCCTGCAAGCCAGCCTGACACGTCCCTTTCTCTGGCACTGCGATCGAGACCAATACCTGCCGACATGGCCCCCAGCGCGGCACAATGCCAGGGGAAGGCAAATGCACAAATGCCCCTCTGAAAAGGATGTGATTGTATTAGTGTTAACAAAGTGCAGGGACTCTATTCTTACCAGGGTCCAGACAAAGAGATTCAGGAGAGGCTGGATGAGGATGAAGGCAGCAGAGACAATAGTCAGTTCTTGACCTCTCTCCTATTTGTATTGTTGGATGCACTAGCTTTACAATATAAAAGGAAGTGCATCAACGAATATTCTGAGTTTAGAAATGAATTACACTCCTAAAAGTGCATGGACAGTTTTTTCTTTTCTTCTGCCCATGATCCCCTCAGAAATGACATCTGATTTGTTTGTTGTCTTGTGTGAGTCATTGTTTAAGGGAATATAGAACATAGGCTATACTAAAACTGTTGTATCCAGGCAGGCTATGATAGTTTGCCATTACACCATGTGTTACCAGGTCAGAAAATGCTCAGAAAATAGGGAAAGTTAAAATATACTACTCAAAGCTGACCTTTTAGATATAATTTTGACCCATGTTTTGGAGTCACGTCTAAACAATATGTGACAGCATCGTGACTAGGTGAACCTATTTCTGTCTGTGAATAGGGAAATTCATTCTCCCAGTGGCTCCTTTGTTTTCCATTGTACGGCACAGTGTGCTTCTTTTAGGTTGGGGAGAACAGTGCACTGTTATACTGGATAACTAGGTAGGGGAATACTGAACTGTCCCTAGAGCACAAGAGTGTGGCACACACCACTACAGAGTTGAGGGGATCATTATGTCAAATTAGTTATTCATAGTGTAAGATATTGGTGCAGTTGTTTGAACTTTTCAGTGAATGTCTGGATTTAATGTTTAGTTTCTTGTTCCAGGAGAGAAGAGAGCGTAGGACAGGATTTGGAGGCCCAGCAGTCAGTTCCCTCTACCAAGAAGAAATGATCAGGTACGTCACACACACAGACAGACACACAGACAGACACACAGACAGACTAACAGTATCAGAGACAAACTTCCTCTGCATTAAGCCCTGAGTTTCAGAAGTTCCTCTGCAGACTGTAAACTGTTGTGGGGACATTAGACAGTCCAGATTATGTACATTCTATTCACTTCCCTTACGGGAACCCTCAGAAGCTTGTTCAAGCCTAAACACCGCCTTGTTTCTGGAAAAAAAGGAATCCAGCAGGTTTTCCCTTAAATTATCCTCATTAGTATGCGTTAGTGTGCATGTGTTAAGGAGAGGTGGCCTGAGAAACGCCTGCCTTTTAATTAGTTTTTCGTTAGCGTGGAAAAATGAGAGATCGGTGATAGCCGATAGGGTTGCTCCATGGGGACAGGAAGTCATTAACATTCCCCCTCAGCAAGGTTTTTCTCGGGCGTGTCCCGCTCCAAACTGTTACACTCACTGGTTCGCTGAATATCCAATTTTCCCCTCTCAGTACAGGGAGACCCTCTCCATATGAACTACACTGCCTTCTCAAGCAGCTGCTTTTCACTGAGTTAATTGCATCCTCTTTGCTAATTTTCTGCTCTGGGTCGGGTAGCTATGTGTGGAATGTGTATTGACAAAAGCTGGCTTGATTGGCGACATCCCGAAGATAGTGAAGTCTGCTGCTTGTGATGGAATAGATTTGTGTGAGCTACACTTGTAATCCTCACAGATTGTGAAAAGGCTCTGATCAACATCAGACTTATTGTTAGCTGATTGGCGTTCTAGACCACTTGGCTGGAAAGTCACAGCGAGTGTGAGTTCTCTCATTGCCACTCATAGTGCTTTGTTGTAGCCTGTGTGTTTGTGTGTGTGTTGCCCATGGTGTGTGTGTGTGTGTGAGTGACCTCCCTATAAGAATGTGTGTGATTGATGGTGGAGCTGTTGAAGTCATCTGTAGCGGCCTGGCTGTGTTGGGTGATGAGTGTTTTCCTACTGAAGGGCTGGCATGCAGGCTGATGGATGAGGGGGATATCTGTCAGTATGCCGGGCTGGACTGGGCTGTGGAGCAGGGTTGTGTTCTATGAGGCTGGTGTGTGTCAGTGAGCTGGGCTAGGCACCAGGACTGTGTGTTGTATGAGGCTGGTGTGTGTTTTACTCATGCAGGGTGGTGTTGTGGATGATGGTATGGTGTTTATGGGTCATGACACCAAATCCACATTTACAGTAACTGATTAGTTACAAAGTAGTTACAACATGCACATGATATCACAGTGGCGCATGCACACACTGCCATACACTTCAGGCTTCCGCATGCTTTGGTTCGGCTCCCATACGCCCTTAAAAGACCTTCGCTTGAAAAAGGAGAAAAGGTGTCTATAGTAGTAGGCCACTCACACACATCAGGGCTGATAACTGGCCCTACACAACTCTCCCTCCCCCCGGCTGGTAGTCAGCTGTGGTTAACCAGGCAGTGGGGATGACAGAGTAGCCTGTGACCTTCCCAGCATGCCGTGCGGCGGGCGGTGCTGATTATGTCGTTTATCAGGGCACCATTAATCGTGTGTGTGCTTTCGGCCGGCCGGCCGGCAGCCGTGAGGCCAAACCCTCGCCGGCCATCGCAGCCTGACTGATAAGCACCGCCATTGATTTGTTACCGTGGGAGACAACTGTTGCCCACATGGCAGGGATACTCTGGGTCAACGCTGTGATCACCGGAGGAGGGGGAGGGGCTGGCCCCCCACTTATGGATTAACATGACACTTATGAGCATGTAAATGAATGTGTTCTCGCTTGTAACCTTATTATTTTCAACTGGAATTAGCTGTTTATAAATCAACGTGTGATACAGAGGCACATGGCAAGCATCAGGAACAAAGGGAGAGAGGGCTCCACAGTACTCTGTTTAACACTGTTGCTATTTTACATTTACATTTACATTTTAGTCATTTAGCAAACGCTCTTATCCAGAGCGACTTACAAATTGGTGCATTCAACTTAGGATAGCCAGTGAGCTGGGCCTGGGATTGGGACTACGTTGCTCTCTTTCAGACAATGGAAACTAAATGCAATGAATCAGGATCCCTGCATGGGTAAGAGGGGAAGGCGTAAATATCTAAATAAGATTTAGCCCCTTCCCCGCTCCCCCCGTATCTACCCTCCCCCCGCCTGGCGTGGCCTCATACCAGGAGGTGATTAGGTGGCAGATAATTCAAGCTAGTGTGGCGTACCTACCGCACAGCAGCTCCCCCAGGGATGACCCACCAGGGAGGAGCAGGAGGAAATGTTTACCTCACCAACACCTGCACACACTTGGCCCCTCAAACAGCCAAACACAGGGCTTTTTCCAGCCAAACAAAATGCACAGCTGACGACACAGTGTGTTCCAGTCCTCTCCTATGGGACCAAGAAACAAGAGATGCCCATTCACCTGACAATACTCAATATATTGGCATGTGTATTCATATCCAGATTTGTTAATGACAAGATTGCAATAATATTATTCAGATCTAGATTTTTTTATTAGCCGTGTGTGTGGTGGTGTTATTGTTTTTGCTGAGAAGGAGAATTCCCTGAAGAACAGGTGTCTCTTCCCATCGGACACCAGACAGTTCCTTCACTTCAATGCACTGGTTCTTTGACTGATGCTTTCTCTCTTACTCTCCCCTCACAGGGAAGAAGACAAGAACATATTTGACTACTGCAGAGAAAACAACATTGAACACATTACCACGGCTATCAGTTCCAAGAAAGTGGATGTCAACACAAAAGATGAAGAGGTAAGTGACATCCTGTCCACAAAGAAAGACCCCTCATTTTTAAACAAAACATGTTATTCATTCCAAAACCAGCTCATTTGCATATGGGACAATATTCCTCCGTAGCTCCATTGTCTTTGGCCTCAAATGGACTATTAGTCCTTGTGAACTCCTCACACCAATATCTCAGAGCTAAAGGAGAAGCCCAGCTATATGACCCCAACTATTCATCTGCTCTTTATTCATTTATCACAGAGGCCAAATGGCTTAGTCCCTCTTTCATCACGGCAATTCTTCAAATGAGGAACCAGATGGTGGTGTTCTTTGTGTGGCCACTCCAGCATTGTTTACCATTAGACTGCAGGTCCTCAATACAACCAGCAGAGTGCACTAGTGAAGTTCCATCCACACCCCCTGAGGTGATACATCTCAGATAGGCAACCAGCTGAGAGAGTAGAGCTGGGACGATAAACCGAAAATGATCGACACCGACCACTTATCGCAGGCATTTTGCTCATATCGTTCATTATGATAAGTAGCCTATACTAGAGAAATGTGAAGTTTTAAATGAAATAAGTTTGCTAATATGGGTGATTTGTTAATGGGACAATTGATGGCTACAACCATCAAACTAGTTGTAGTAGTTTAAAGGGTATAGTTATTGCATCAATTCAGGCTATTTTTGTCGAGAGGGAGCGATCTGGCATCCATGCATAGAGACAGACCGTCATGTCTGATTGAATAGATTAACATATCCCACCGTCTTCTCTCTTTGTGGATGTTTAGGTAAAATGTTGTGATTAAATCTCTCAAGGTAAAAGTATAAAAACAGCCTGGCTTTGTAAGTTTATCCTACGTTCTAGAGTCAACAGTAACAGCCACTGACTGTTCTTTTGAAGTATAGATTCATATTTAGCTATTTATCTAATTCAGGTTTACCAAGGACCTTGTGTTCTCCTCTTGCGCTAATTGGAATGTGCCATAATTGAATGTCCTACTAGTTTCCTCCAGAGTCATATCTAGAGACTGTATAAATGACTCTTGTTTCCACTGATAACAAAAGTCCTCCTGTAGACTGTTCTTCATCAGAATGTACTGTTGTTAGATGTTTTCAGCGGTGGGGGATATTGGCACTTTAATTCGGGGTGATATGAGCCGGGGGTGGCCTCTGACCCCTGGGGTGGTTGGTCCTCTGACTCCCCTCCAGAGGCCAAAGGCATTTTCTGTAATGTACAGTGCAGGCGTGGGGCGAATGGGGAAATAATCCTAATGATGGGGAGAATAGATCAGGGTGCCCCGCCACGTCTTTATGGCTCACTGAGGCCGTCTCATTACTGTTGGGGGGACGGTTGCATGGGGGCCACGCCACAGGTATACATCACACACACCAGCCATAAGCATGGGATCAATCATGCGTGCTGTGAGTCATGGCCCACACAGAAGCAGGGCAAATGTTGCTTTATGTGTGTGTGGGTATTCACTACACAGGAACAGACTGGTATTGTACAGCACTAGCTGCACATTGGGCTTAGACACTGTACCGTATGTCTAATACACTACCCAGAGCTGAACACAGGACTGATTCTAGACACCGACTACAGTGACTAATATACCCCGGTACTGGAAAGTATGAATACAGTCTCGTCAGTCTTTACTAATAGAATCTCCCTCATGAATTTGTCTCCTTCACTCTCTGAATAATCATGAGATATTTTGTGTTTTTGCCTGTTACTGTTGTATAGTGTACAAGCGGCTGTCCCAGTAGACTCTATGGGTGAAGCGTCCCAACATCCACACAGGTCCCCACATGCTACTGAGAGAGAGACCACACCACCACCTCTAACCACCAACCCCATGTACCCCAACAATGGAGGGCTGGATTTCATGTTGTAATACCGCCCAAGGAACTCCTCTTTTCTCTCTCTCTCTCTCTCTCTCTCTCTCTCTCTCTCTCTCTCTCTCTCTCTCTCTCTCAGGGACAAGGTCCCCCCATTCAATTAGAGCCAATTGAGCTGACAGGTCCCCTCCCACTGAGACTGAGGAGAGTGCCCTTTTAGCCCCATGTAGACACGTCTGTTGTGTGTTGCCGTGGGTGCAAGTCACGGCTCCTGGAAGTGGCTAATCCCCCACTACACAGGGAGCCTAGCTTAGCGCTTTAGAACAGAGAGGTTCAGGCCATCTCTAACCTTATATTACAAAAAGTGCCAGCAGCGCTGATTCCTGATGGATGATTTCCACGAGTGTTTTCTTCTTTTGTTGTTATCTCAGACAAATAAGAGTGCTACTGTGAGGTTTTTATGTTCCTCCTTACAATAAATGGTTATTTCAAATAAGTTTGTGTCCATGAAAATGCTCTTTTATCCAACCAGACATCTAAATGGAGTACTTATGGGTGCACTGGGCTGTCTCTGTCTGAGAAAACCAATCCAGTAGAGGGGTTAAAGTGAAAGTTCACTCTTTCCCAAATCATAGTTCTCTTGAGAGTATGTACAGAAAGTTCCAGAGTGGAATTAATATATTAGGAGAAATTGGTAGAGCATGGCGCTTGCAACCGCAGGGTTGTGGGTTCGATTCCCACGGGGGGCCAGTATGAAAAAAAATGTATGCACTCACTAACTGTAAGTCGCTCTGGATAACAGCGTCTGCTAAATGACTAAATGTAAATGTAAATACTAACAATCATTGGCACACCAAAAACTGAGAAAAAGCACAGCGGTATTTAGGCTCCCGCCTCTCTCATAAATATCAATTTCATCATACAGCCGTGGTGATCAATATAATTTAAGCAATAGAATAGGACTTAGAGTGTTTGCTTTATCTAATTGGCTAAACTGAAAAATGAGCTCCCTGTGGCAGTTGTATTAGAATGAGGGGTTTGGAGCTAAGGAGAGGAGGGGGGAGAGGGTGTGGGGGCTGATCAAGGGGATGCTCTCGTTTTGTCCACAGCATCCCATCAATCAACTCTAAGGACTCTGCCGGCCATCCGCAATTTGTCCCTGAGCTCCTGGACCAGCCCCCTCCACCTCCCCAACCCCCCCTACACACACACACACATATATATCTATATATATCTCACAGACCCCTCCTGCTGGTGAGGAGGCAGAGCAGAGCTCATCCTGTCACCACCTCGTTTTATAGTTGGGATCTGAAGGCTCTGGGTTATAAATTGTAGTGCAACATTCATTTTTTTAAAGCTGAGAAATCTATTGTGTAGTTAACTTTATGGAGCCGTGCATAACAGAAGGGAATAGATGGTTCTATTAGAGGTGAGGAGGGGTTGGGCCTCCATCCATCTCACTGGATGCTCCAGCAGGTCCCCACACTGCATTTACATATCTCTGTGTGGTCAGACGCCCCACACACGCTGTCACTATCCATGCCAGCTGTAGTCCATTCACTAGGCAACCTTACTAAGTACTGTACCTACCGGTATCGCTATAGTTTTTTTCTCCTCTTGAGAAAATGTATCGTAGATCAAGAGGTAGGATTTACAATAGATAGTGTTAAGGTGTGTAAACAAGTACTGACATTTACTTTGAGGGTTTTACCTAAGAGAAAAACTAACATATTTGATTCAGTATCTTGACTCTTCAACTCATTAGCTGCTTCAATGATGACTAACAATACCTGTTGCACCTTGAAGTAGCTGCTCATGTATTGTATAATGTGTTTGTGCAGGAATAAAGAGCCACACCTCTGTGTGTTTCAGGGCCGGAATTTGCTGCACTGGGCCTGTGACAGAGGCCACAAAGACCTGGTGTCTGTGTTACTGCAAAACAGTGCTGGCATTAACAGTCAGGTGAGTCTCTCTCTCTCACACACACACACACACACACATCTGGGGTTAGGGGTCAAGTAGCATTTGATGCAGAAGTTCACAGGGTCAGATATTTTAGGGGATTTCAAGATTTCTTTGAGATTCACAATTGTGTTAAAATGGGCATGAAACCGACACAGTACACTCTGTCAACAGTCCAGCACACACCTCCCAAACACACACCTACAGCTTACTTCACTACACACCACATAGTCAATCCTCTGTATCCGTGGAGGCCTAGTTTCTGTGGCTGGCCCAGTTTCTGTGGCTGGCCCAGGGGACTATAAGGCCCAGTGACACTCTCCCTAGAACCCTCTGAGCAGGTCTACTTTAATTCACTTTGTGATATTGACAAATCCCATGGGGTTTATCCAACACAGTAAGCAGGTAGATGTTGTTTAGTGACCTGGCTGTGGGGAGAAAAACCCTGTACGCATTCAGGTTTAGAGGCAGGCGGCTTTGTCTTAAGCTGGCTGAACGATGCATCGGGAAATTAATACTGTGGTGCGTACTGTTGTGGGGCAGGGGCTTTACTGCCCCACAGTAAGACAAATCAATTGGAAGTAATCAGGCAAATTGTTTGCATTATACAACCCATATAATCAGAACATTTGCAAATGACTTTCTTTTTGTGGCCATGAACCTTTTTTTGTGTGGATGAAAACCAGAGCGCTGGCTTATAAAGAATGATCTTGGTCTGCCTGGCAGTGGCTATGGTCATGGTTTAACAATAAAACATTACTACTTAAATGGAGGCATGTTAAATGCTGCATTGTAATTACAGAGAAGTGGAGCCTCTCTCTAAAGTCATTGTAACATATACTGTATTTAGCCTTCATTTATGAATAATAACAGTAGTTACATTAACAGTACACTGAATAAATGTGGTTAAATGTGGTCAAATCTAATACCTGTACATCTCTGGCATCTCTGATGAATTTCAGACACATGCTCTGGGAGAATGTGTGCAATATGCATAGCTATACACATGCATACTATTTCCTAGTGTAGGTACCAGTAAGTGTAATTGAATGGCAGACAGTCCTTATTAAGACCCAGTGTGAGAGGTCACTCAGCAGTCCCTCTCAGGTCATCAGGACCCCTATGGCCCATCTCCTTGGTCATGTCTAGATGGGATACAGCTTTTGTCAAATTGACATCAAAAGTTTTTTATATTTTTTGCATTTTAGCTAACCCTTTTCCT